CATGGCATGGCATGGGATGGGATGGGATGGGATGGGATGGGATGGGATGGGATGGGATGGGATGGGATGGGATGGGAAGCCCTAGGGTGACCAGGCCTTCTTCTCTCTCCTCCTGCCTTGTGCCTCCAGACATTATCACAGCATGGACGAGTTCAGCCACTACGACCTGTTGGATGCAGCCACAGGCATGAAGGTAGCTGAGGGCCACAAGGCCAGCTTCTGCCTGGAGGACAGCACCTGCGACTTCGGCAACCTCAAGCGCTACGCATGCACCTCACACACACAGGTTGGGCTAGAGAAGCAGGGCAGGGGCATAGGGTGCAGGATGCTGCCCACCCTGGGAGCTGGAGGAGCAGACAGCAATGTAGTCTGGGCCAAGCTGAAGGGCCAGTGCCAAGACCCATGGCCACTCAGCTCAACCAGAATGGTAGTCTTCTTGCCAGTCCTCGGGCCACCACAGGGCCCCTTTGGACTCTCCCCTCCAACCAGGCCCCTTCCTACGTCATTCCCAAGGTGTTTGCTCATGGAAAGAAAGAAACATTCCAACAGAGTTGAATGGCATGATGTTCCAATCGACTATTTTTCTATCCAGATCTTTCTGTCCATCTGTCTAAGCATCATAGAGTGGCCATCTATCCTCTGTCCATTTCTCCCAGGCATGCCCCTTCTTCATTTGATCCCCCTAATCTGGAAATTATATCTATCATCTCTCTGGTCCATTCCCCCTGTGGGTTTAGGGAGGGGCAGTCCCACTCTGAGCAGCTGCCCTAGACCAGGGTCAGGGCAAAGCACAGAGGAAGGAGGGCCCTTGGCTGCTGGACTAGGCATGAGGGGTGCTGAGGAGTATGTAGCACCCTACCCTCTACTCTTGTCCCTGTTCTCAGGGCCTGAGCCCAGGCTGCTATGACACTTACAACGCGGACATCGACTGCCAGTGGATTGACATAACTGATGTGCAGCCCGGGAACTACATCCTCAAGGTGGGCCTCCCAGTCTGGGGCACCCCCTCCAGCCTGATGCTCACATCAGTGTCCCCACCTCTGAGATATGCTTCAGCTCCTGGGCACGTTCCCCTCTTCCCAGCAGCTGAGCAGAAGCAGCACCTTCGGGTATCTTGCAGAGGGCTGCACTTCCCACCTGAAGGTCCTTAGCCTAGGGCAGATACAGCCTCGTTCCATAAAGACACCAAGGAACCCTGGGCCAGGTGTGGTGGGGTTAGAAGAGGGGATGAATCAGCCATGTGGTCCATCCTCCTGTCTGTGGGCAGTGAAGGGTATCTAGGAGAGGACACCACCCTCTGAGAGAGACCTTCAGCTCTTCACAGTGAGCCCTGCAAAGCCAGGGGCTCCTGTGACCAAAAGTCCCTTCCAGCCTAAACTCCACGTCCAATGCTCGCTTGCTTAAATGCCCCTTCCCTTGGTGGGGGGCAAGTAGAAAAGCATATTAAGGACCCACTACCCAGTGTGATATATCCCTGCACAGGCTGGGCAGGGCTGAGTTGTCATGACCTCAGCTGGGGAAGGCAAATCTCAGCCTCCTCCACACAGGTGTGAAGTGAAGGCGGGGTCATTGTGCCAGGTCCCCCGGACCCACTGTTCCACACAGAAGTTCAGAGGAAGAGCAGTGAAGACAGGCTTGGGAGGCGGCTTTAACCTGCATGAAGACGGCTACTAGGGCGCTGCGGTCAGAACATAGCAACCTATCCTGAGTGCCTCTCGGCAGGCTCCATGGGCCTCTCTTCACCTCACCCAAGAGCAAGGGTTGTCAAGGGTATTCTGTCCTTCCTTCCTTCATCCACTCACCAAACATGTACAAAGGATCCTCTGAATTCTGGGTGCTGGGGATTCAACTCACATTAGCTATACACAGTTCCCACCCTTAAGGAATGTATGAGGACTTAAAAGTAATATCCTTCCATCTGATCCTAAATGCTCTGCTGTATTTGCTGGATGCAGTCTACCCCAGTGAACCACCCCACCCGCGCAATAATTCAATATTTGAAAGGCTTCCTTGTGTCTGGACAGCTCTCCTTCAGACAAAAAGTACAGGTTATGCTTGGGCCATCATCTCAGTGAGTGTTGGGCACCCTGGGCTCCAGGGCAGGGGATGCCACCTGGCATCAGACAAGCCTTCAACAGGTCATATAGATGGGCATGGTGGTGAAAGGGTGTGAGCCTCAGAGTCCAGAGACCAGGCGTAGGATCTCTGCTTGGCCCCTCATCCCTGCTGTGTTCCCGGTGGCAGTCACTCAGCCTCTGTGACCCCCAATGCCCCGTGCTGAGGGGCCCATCTGCCTGGGCTCTGGCTCTGGGGAAGTTCACATCTTCTAATAAGGGTGATCTGATGTGTTCTTTGACTGTCTCTTCTCTCCTCCCTCTGTCTCTCTGCATCTCCCCATGTCTCTCCATCAGTGTATCTTTGTCTCTGTGTCTCTTCGTCTCATGTGGTCTTTCTCCAACTCCCTGTCTTCCTCTCCTTGTCTCTTCTGTGTCTATCTGTCTGCCTCTCCACCATCTTCCCTGGTGACCAAGTGAAGCACAGCCCCCTGACCAGACCTTTACTCTGCCCCCACTTCAGGTGCACGTGAACCCTAAGTACATTGTTTTGGAGTCTGACTTCACCAACAACGTGGTGAGATGCAACATCCACTATACAGGTCGCTATGTTTCTACGACAAACTGCAAAATTGTCCAGTAAGTGCTCCCCCGCCGCCTCCCTGCCCCAGCCCCTTTCCTACATGGGGAGCAGGCTGGCCACACGAAACATAAGATACCTGCACTTTGGGTCACATCAATCACCAAACTCGGTTGCGATTGGGCCCAGCCCACAGGCTGAGATGGAGGAGCCTTGTCTGTGCCAGCCCCAAGCTGAGTTCCCACGGTGGGGCTCAGGCTGCACTGCTGATCTGTGATGCAGCTCCCTACGATTTCTCAAGTGGGAACCAGCAGGAGGCAGCATTGTTGGGTGGACGTGCACAGGCTCTGCAATCCTACTTCTGTGACTTCCTCGCTCTGTGACACTGAACAGTTCACCTCACTTCTCTGAGCTACTTTTCTCAACTGGGAAATATAAAATAGGCATTTTTTATATTCCAGTAGGCTTCTGAGGAAATTTAAAGGCCTTATGTCTGAGTGTTCGGGAACCTTTCACAGTAGCACTCAGTGAATGGTATCTATGATGATCAGTGTCCTTATCAAGTAGATTGAATTAAACAGTCCCAGATTAGAAGTGACTGTGGTTGGAACGAGCCATCGTCAATCCCCTGGCCCCACCGTTGAGTTGATAAACTCTGAGCTCAGGCCTTTGGCACATGGCTCTTGGGCAGGGTCCTCAGCTGTTGCTGCCCGACGCTGGCTGTCCTCAGCCTCTCTCCTGATTCCCCACATGAAGTACTTTGCAGAGGAGGCCTTTACTTACAAGTTTGCAAAGAAACCTCACCCCCCTCCATGTGAATTTAAAATATTTGATCAGGTCAAAGCAACTCTTTTCCATTAAAAGGGTGAGAGAGAGAGAGCAATCCCAGAGTTTTCATCCGTCACCTGGGGGATGAATGGGAGTGAGTCCAAGGCCCAGAGAGGCCTCTTTACCCAAAAGTGAATGCTTATTAATACTTGACAGGTATGAGAGGTGGAACCTGGAACCAGGATCAGGGCTCAGTGTGTGAGCAGAGTCAGGGCTCATTTAGAGAAAGCTTTCATCCTTGGCTGCTACCACTAGACTAACTGTTTAGAGACTAACCACCCCCCACACACACACACACAATAATACCATGTGCAGTGATTAAGTTCCTCATAAGCAGAATTAGATCAGAATTATCCAGGTCACAGAGTGTGTTTGAAACAACTGAGTCCTGCCCCATCCCTAGCAACGTGGCTCTTTGGCAGGCCTGGATTTCCAGCACTTTTTCACTCCTCAGGGCCTGTCTCAGCCATTTATACTGAGGGGTCACCTAAATGGCAGAGGTTTTCTGGGAAGCAATTCTATGAAAGGAAAAGGAGGAAGGAAGAAAGGAAGGAAGAGAAGGAGGAGGAGGAGGAGGAGGAGAGGAGGGAG